TTTTGGTTATTTTTTTTAATCATAGCAATAGAGATCACAACTAAGCCATTATTTTATTAATTTGGTGTTTAGTTTATTTTTGAAACTTCAAAAGCGCTTTTTCAGAGACCCTCTCGCATCTTGAGTCATAAAATAATGAAGATGTCCTTGAAGTTCCTCCTTCTGAGGAGTGGAAATATCCCTCATACTGGTGAGGAATAATATACTTATTATTAAACCTTAGATAAAGTTTTTTTTTTTAAACTCTGGCAGTTTATTCATGTGTTTAATAATCTTCCAAGATCAGATGGGATTGGGCATGTTCAGGGTGGTATGGCTGTAGATATATTTAATAATCTATACAAGGTCTAATTGTCACAGCAATTTCAAAGAAAATAAAACAGCCTTTCCAATATATTTGGTATGCTATATCTTAATTCTATATAAAATAGTTAAGAACTTTATTTCTTAAGATCTATATTATTGATGTAACCAACCGTCTTATTAAATAAGAAACACAGAAACAATGCAAAAGAGAAAGCCGAGAGGTCAGAGCTCAGAGCTAAAATCTCACCCTTTCGCCTGCGGTGTCCCAGCTTCCCGAATGAGCGTGCTATTCCTGTCTGTTCGTCTATTTAAAGTATTTTGTTCTGCCTTCTCATTGGTTGTAAACCCAAACACGTGACTGCCTCGTCACTGTCTGAATGTACAGCCCCCTAGGTCTTAAAGGCATATGTCTCCAATGTTGGCTATATCCCTGAACACACAGATATCTATGGGATTAAAGGCGTGTGCCACCACCGCCACACTCTTGCTATGGCTCTAATAGCTCTGACCCCCGGACAACTTTATTTATTAACATACAATCAAAATAATATTTCAGTACAATTAGATTACCACCACACTATATAAAAAAATAAAATAAATAGTTTTGCAAAAAATAAATCAATTTTTTTTGTTGTGAGTTTCAAGTCCCCTGTTTCCACCATCAAAATCCTTGAAGTCAACAATTAAAACATTACACCATTGTTTTCTATATCCTTTAACTTCTAGCTTCTAGCAGGCTGCTGTATTCTCACATCAAAAGTGACTCTAAGAAACAAATAATACTTTTAAATAAATCATAATTTACATTAGTTGAAAATTCTTTACTATAAATTTAAATAATTTAAATCTGACTTTAGATGCACTTTTAGGAAATAATTCTCTTAGAAGTTAGACCACATTGTTTTAGATAAGAACCCTTCATTTCTCAACAATTTTACATGAGTCATGAATCCATTACAAACAATTCAAATTCTAGGCTCAGATTGCTACTGGTCCTGTATAATATAGACATGATAAACATCAGTCTTTTTCAGAATGGATTGTGTTTACAAAGATTGAATAGAGCTTTGTCTTATGCTTATAGAAGAAATCATAGAGATTTCATTAGCAGCATTTCAAAGAAATCGTCATTTCTTATACTTAATAATGGGAAGATGCAAAGTAAAAACTATGAAGATTTTCTGATTATCCTAAAGTGATTAAAACTGTTTAGTTTAAATAACACATGTGATGTTCTCACTGTGATTTGATGAGTCCGTCACATGGCAGTTTTGACTCAGAATGGTGTTGGTATGAATGTGAACCATATATTTTGAAGCTATCAGGGCTAAAATATTTTTGCAGTGTTAGGTATGGGTTCCATCTTACAGAACAGGCCTTAAATTTTGGAAAAATTCTAATGCAATATGTTGTAGCATTTGAATTTGTCTGTTTTTTTCCTTATGATTGCATTTGGTACACACTTTGCTAGGATAAAGACCATGAGACATGTTTTGGGTTTCCACATTATAACAAAGGACTTATCACCATGATCCTTACCAGATTACTCAGCTATGATAGAATGTCACTATTTTTCATTATCAAATTATTCCTCCTCACCCACTTCTCTTTGGAATGAAGTCACAGTACATATCTCACACTAGGAAAGTAAGGAATTATGTATCACTTTCTAATTAAAGATTATTCTGCATGGGATATTTGTCTATCTCTGCTCAGCAATTCATTTAAACATTACATCAACATACCCTCACAATATTTACAAGGAGTTATAATCCCATTCTATCTCTCTTTGCTGCTCAAGTGCTGTGGATTTGCCCAACTTGTGCTCCTTCAATAGTTTGTTTTGATTGATAGATCAATTAATTAATTCTGTTCTGTATTTTTCAGCTCTATAAGTTGCTCTGACTTCCTCTTGATTAGTTCCTGCATTTAGTCCTAGAATCAGCCAGTTCTCTACAAACCCTAGTTAACTATTTTTAGAAACTAAGTTCTAGATTCTGAGTATACTTGGTTATTTAATTTTAAATCCTAATCTCTTATGGCCTTCCTGGAAATTGTTTAAATGTACTTGTGAATTTATTGAGCAAACTGTGCTCAGTGCTGAGCCTTATGCTCAGGCTAGGGAACCTGGATGCTACCTGCATGATGTCACAGTTTCTTTCTGGACATCTTGCTGCCCTGATTCCTAGAATTAAATTGCAATCCTCATTTCAAAGTCAAGACTCCAAGAATTACAGATGCACACACAGGGCTGATTCTTTGTTATGAGTGTGAATATTTCTGAGTCAATGTACCAGTACTGAGACATAAAGAACTTGGGTTATTTTAGTCAGGCGTGAGGATGAAGCACCCACAGAACACATGTGTAGTATCTACTTAATACAAACTCATTAAAATATCTTTAAATATCAAAGTACAAAGCAATATCTACTTTTCCTCTGTCCCTGGTATATATCCTTTATCAGGCAAGGGAGGTGACCATGGTGATGAGAAAGAATAACATAGAGCAGCAAGGGACTTTGAGATGGAATTGGGTGTATGAACACACTATGTATTGTGTGATAGATTTTATTTTTCTGAAGAGCCGAGACATATATATGCCAACTTATCCTAAGAAGAGAGCCATTGACAGCCCAAAGCAATAATTCCAGCAATGTCAAATTTGGTGGACTAATGACTTTGTCTATTGGTCTTACTAACAAGAGTGTGGATGAGGGGTCACAAGAACCAGGGATTACACAAAAGCAGCTGAAACATCAGAAAGCCCACCCTAGCATGGCTGATGACTTCTGAAAATGCAACCCTGGAGCTTTCTAGGCAGCCTACAAGCAGATCCACAGTCTGGATGTCTATGGCTAGTGAGAGTCTTCATTCCCAACAACTGTTTACTCCCATTTACATTGTTGGGTAAGGGCCCTCAATAATCTTTTAAGTTTTATTTTTTCCTCTTCACACGTGACTTTTAGTGACCTTTAGTTTATCTCCTGAGGCTCATGAGCCTCCCTTTTGCTCTTGCAGAAAATATTGCAGTTCTTAGGGAATGTTGAAATTTGGAGAAACATGCCATTCAACACTATATACATACATATATTCACATCTATATGCCAAGGGATATGCATCCTTACAAACGTTTTAGAACATCAAAATTTGAAAAGGAACAATACCTTCTCAAAATTTGTACCCTACTTTAAAATCTAGCTGGTAGGAAACTGGACAGTGGATTATAGCTATTTAAATCATAAAAGCCATTTGACTCTATTATAGCACTGATAATTATCAGAGTCAAAAGGATAGTATATTGAATTCATTAAGTAGTTAAATAAATTTTGGGTTAATATTTCTCCAAAAATTCCAAATAAGGTTTTTACCTAAATAAATATAACTAAATACCATTCTTTTTGAAATTAACTCTAGAGTTCTTTATACATGTCCAATACTGCTTATTGCAATGTTGAAAATACTAAACAGTGAAAATAAAATTAGAAAAGCTATTTTTGTGTTTTTGTAGAAAATTATTTCTTGGTTGTAATTAGTTTTAATATATGATATAAATATTATATATTTAGGAACTCAGAGAAAATTATATACTTAGAGAGTTTTAAGGAGTTGGCCAAGAAGGCAGAAAGATGAAAGGTTTTAGACAATATCATATTTTAGCAGTGAGGTTGAAACAGGACCAATAACATATAAGTTTTCATTTTACCAATTCAGGCAACTTTGCAACTTCAAAAAGTCTATTTTAAATGAGATGAGGCCAGATGGCAACCGAAGAGAAATATTCCAGTAGGGCTGATGGGTAAAAGTGTTAAAGGAATGAACTATTTGATAAATTCCAGTTCAGCTCAGCAAAGCTCATATAAAATTAGATAAGTTGTAGCAATTCCAGTTAGACAAAGTGACATTATTAGTTTTTATAATATAACCTTATTTTAATTAAACAAACTTTTAGCCATATCTCCCCTTAGAAGTAATATCAAAGCTTTCCTAAAAACTTCACTACTATTTTAAATTCATATTTTCAAAGCTTTGGACATTTTTTCCTGCATCTTTTCTAAAAACATCCATTATAAAGCAAATGCAGCATTTCATTGACTGAATCTTTAAAAGGCAATAAGCCAAGTAATATGTTACATTGCATAGGGATTGCTCCATGAAAAATACTGCAGGTTCAGACGACAAACTGCTTGTGTCTCCATAATGTCAGAGTGTTTTATGAACTGGCATGCTAAAATTCAATCTAAAATATATTGACTTATAGTACTGAGACTCCATGAAAGCAACACATTGCTCAAAGTTCAGTTCTAAAATGTCTGGGGAGCTAGGCCACTCTTGGGTGAGCTTTCTCATGGCAGCATTGCTTCACAGCTGTACTTTGCCAAACCCTGAATACAAGTCGTATGCTGATTCTGAAAACCCCTGAGGTATTGTTTACTAAATTCTCAAAGCTTGAACAAAAACCCTAAGAGACCTCAGACAACCTGGGAACAAGTTCCAGACAAAGACAAGATAGCAGAAATCCAAAACATCTGTTTCTACAGTATACCAGTATGTTTAACTTTTTAAAGCCTTCTACCACACATTCTCATTACAATATGCCATCCTATTCAGACTTCTGTGTGGATTCATCTGTCTGAGTCATTGTCTCTGAAACAACTCAATTTCCTCAAGCTGTAGATGGGCCTGAAATTGCTTACCTGACTCACAAGCAAATGTCTTTGACGTTTCGTCATGAAAGATAATTGCCACTGCATGCTTCTTTGTCTCTCGAGGCAGTCTGGTTATATTTTTGATGTTGTGCAGTTCAGTTACCTTGAAAGAGAAAAATATTTTTTTTTCTTTTTACTTTTGAAATTCTGGGGATTGGCCCCCAGAGCCTTGTATATACTAAGCAAACATTCTATCACTGAACTACCTCTCCAATGAGATAAGATTTTTATTTTAATGCATAGTGTATGTAATACATTGCAGGGCTTTAAACAAAATGGCCAGTTACCTTATGTCCTTAAGCACTTTCTGATAGTTCATATTACTAAGTTTGAATTGACTCTATCCACTACCAGCAAAGAACAAAACATAATGTCTTCCATTAGGCCTTCAGTTTTGGTCATCATTCATATTGGTTGCTATATTTGAAAATAGTCTAATGATCATGCAGAATAGCTTCATGGAGGCTGTGCTGTTATGAAACTTGCATCCACAGAAAGCAATAACAATTTGATACAAAGAGAGTTCCATTAAATATGTGTTGAATATTGATGAGATTTAGCAACAAGTCTCTCTAATACCTTCCAATCATACAGGTTCCAGACAAGACTAAGCCATACAGCATGTGACACCTGCCTAAGCGATAACTCAGATAACTTAGCATTTTGACTTTTCAGTGTTTGAAAGAATAGTTTTTGGAATTTGTGTACCAATAATTTTCACAAGCATGAATCCAAAAGACAAAGAGCTAATTATTGTTAGCTGCCTGGTGCCAAGAGCACTGAAGGAGCTTGAGAATGAAATTTCAGCCCAAGGTCTGGTTCTAAAGTCCAGATTCCTGACTTCTATAGTTACTGGTCTCTAGAGTCAGATCAATGTAAGGAGTGTTTTCTTTGATAACAATGTCTCTTTTGACTTACTTGTATAACAAACAATGCTTTCACTTTATATTGTATGCTTCAACTATTTTGAAGAAAACTTGAACTTTTCTTCATGTTATGTTTTTCTTGTTTATTTATTAATAAATTTTGTTATTTGACAGTTTTTACATGTACATAGTGCATTCTGATTACTCTTCCATCTCTATTATATTTTAATAACCACATTATTAGTGTGGAAATGGGCATTTCCATGTTTAGGTTTGATAATATGTCTAGGATCTTGAACTTCATTTATACAATATTAATGACATCCTAATGAGCTGATATTAGCTTTCATCATTGCATGAAAGGAAAAGAAACTTGATGATCAGAGGATATAGCTGTCCTTTACTACACAACCTACTAAGCAGGTGGACCAGGTCTGGTTCTAATGCCCAGATTCCTGATTTCTCTAGTTATTGGTCTCTAGAGTTGGCTCAATATAAGGAACATGTTCTTTGACAAAGACCTCTTTTTTGATTTACTTGTATAACAAAAAATACTTTCAATTTATCATACATGCTTCAACTTTTTTGAAGAAAACTAATGAAAGGAAAAAACCCAATTCCATTTATAATTTAGAATCTATTAAGCTCAATAGGGTTTAGAACTATTAAACTTAGAACTATTGAGATCAATTGTGCAGTGCTTTATGTACAATGCATATACATATTTCATATATTTCAAAATTTCTTCTCCATATTTGAAAATAACACTGCTAATATTGATTAGGGTTCCATAGTATAGCCCAATTAAAGTGGTCAATTCCTGACCAAAACCTGTACTTATATAATATAAAATGACATGTACAAAATAAATGGATGTAGTTATTGTTTTAAAAGGGTTATAGTCTACTTTCCATCTATTCTTTGAAGATTTTTAGTGTCCACATGCAACTCTTGGTCTGTCATATCCAAGACAATTCTTACATATTGACATTTGCTTTTCTCTCCATTTGTTGTCATCCTAAGATTAACATGCATCATTAGAATGGTACAATTAGTTATTTCAGGTATAATAAAGTTGTATTTATGTAAAAGCATATATTTGTATGTGTACATACACATTCCATCATCTACTTATGAATCTTCTACCTATGTATCATCTATCTGAAAGTAGTTTCTCTTCTAAGTGAGAAGAACCCAAATATCTTGTAATTTCTGATGAGTAACATCCTTTGGTGAAAGGTGAACATTCTTTTTTTGGAACCATGACAAACATATTTTAATCACAACAAGGCATATTCTCAAATAAAATACAACTCTTGAATTTTTAAATGATGCTTAAACCCAATGTTATTCTAAGACAATAGATTGACGTTATTTTTGAAAAGAGATATTATTTCCAAACATTATTAACTTTGCCTAAACAAATAGTATCAAACCTGAGTCTAAAAGCAATGATGAATATATTTTGCTTAAAAATTAATGTAAAATGTGAGTAAAAAGGTCATAATCTGCTAGAGAGTTATATAAAATATCCTACATATACTAAACAAATAATATTTAAAAAAACACGTCAGTAGTTCTTCACAGATACTTTTATTTACTAATGTAGAATAATACCAGAAAAGATATTACAGACTTCATTTTTTTGTTATCATAACAAAAATCAACAAATTTAAGTGATAAGCAGATTTGAAAACTGTCCTGTGTACTAAGGAATGCCTAACATCAGTGCTCAGGCAATCTGACAGCTGATGTAGTTCAAAGTACTTTCTCTACTTGAAAATTTACATTTAGAAATACAGGGAGCCTTTGCAAGCAGATCCCATTTCTAGGGCTTTTGAAATAAATCAGGATTTTGGTTGTGGGTCAAAAGTGTGATGACTTAACTTCTTTTGTTTAAGAATTTAAAGAGATGACAAGAAAAAAAAGCACTAATGAGGAATATAAAAATCCCACTTTAAAAAAGCTTCTGAATTCTAACTGCAATGTTTGAAAGACCTGCCTTCATTTTTCACTATCAATATTATCTAGATTTACCATATTGTACTCAACTGTATTTACTGAAAGGAGGACAACTTTTAAAATAATTTCTAGTGCACCAAAATAAAAATGTTTCTATTATCGTACTAAAACCTGTCAATGCAGCATAAAAATAATTATGAGCAGTCATTAAATTTATGAAATCTTGGATTTTTCAATCCTAAAATCAATATTTTTTCATTATTTAAAAATTTCATATTTATTTCTGAAAAATAATTTGTTATTAGATTTCTATGATGGCATAATATATTGTATATATTGTAACCAAAGGATTAAAGTAAATTAAATTAAATAAACATAAAGTTAATATGGAACTGAAAGTAATTCAAGTTATTTAGGTCTCAAAAGATGTAATAGTCAACAATTTAAGATATTTCAATTTGACAAGTGCCAGAACCAACACTTAAATATAAACATATGTAGGTGAAGGGTTTATGGTGGTATTTTATTTGTACTGAAATGTGATTTTAATTGTATGTTAATAAATAAAGTTGCCCAGGGGTCAGAGCTATTAGAGCCATAGCAAGAGCGTGGCGGTGGTGGCACATGCCTTCAATCCCATAGATCTCTGTGTGTTCAGGGATACAGGCAGAATTGGGGGCATACGCCTTTAAGACCTGGAGGGTTGTACTTACAGGTAGTGATAAGGCAGTCATGTGTTTGGGTTTACAACCAATGAGAAGGCAGAACAGAAAGACTATATTAAAGACAAACACACAGGAAGTAGCTCTCTTTTGGACAGGTAGGACCACCGCAGGAGGAAGGGTAAGGTTTTAGCTCTGAGCTCTGACCTCTTGGCTTTCTCTTTTACATTGGTTCTGTGTTTCTTATTTAATAAGACGGTTGGTTATATCTGCAAGGGTTTTTTTTTTTTTTTTTTTTTTTTTTTTTTTTTTTTTTTTTTTTTGCTAACTGATGTTATATTATTTTTATTTAGGTGGTAAGCATTAAGTAATTCATGGGCTTAAATACACATATGGCAAAGATGAAAGATAACCCCTTTCTCTTGGAATATATAGAAGACAGTGCATACTCCTTTTACAGAAGACTCAATTTTGACTACTAGAATTTTGACCCACGTTAGATGGGTCATAACCTCTAAATAACTCCAGCTTCTGGGGAATCCAACACTCCTTTCTGGCCTCTATGGGTACTACACTCATGTGCAAACACACACACACACACACACACACACACACACACACACATGCACACACGCACGCACACACGCATGCACACACACACGAAAATAAAAATAAAATCTTAAGCAATGACATAATAACAGGAAAAAGTGAGATAAAGGATCTGGGGAAGATTTGCATTAATTTTTTCATTGTGCAAGGATTTTGTGCATGAATACAGTGTGTTTTGAGTAAATCTAACCATCTCAACCCTATTCTTCTCCAACTCACTTCTTTCTATCTAATGTATGACTTCTTGTGTGGCAATATTGCAGGCATGACACTTGGGGTTAAAATAATAAGTGAAATGAAAAAGAAAGACAGCCTCAAATTATACCCTTTCATCCAAATGAATTCTTATCTGTATGTATATATATATATATATATATATATATATATATACATACATACATGCACACACATATATAAATGATATCATAGTAATATTATATATTAAACTTTCTCATTTTTTATATGTTTAAAAGTAGTAATAACCTCATTTCATGGTGAAGAAATGGCATTTTAAAAATAGAATATTTCCCCAATATTCTTTTATTTTTGCAAAACTCTTAAATGTCTATCTTGTTTCACAACATCTTGATACTCTTTTCTGCTTCTGAATCCAGGCTCTTTTAATATGTCATTTATATCAAGTATAAGTAAGTATATGTAAGGTCTCACAAAGTTATAGAGTTATAAAACTGAAGATTAAATGAAGAACATTTGAAGTCTACTGTAGCTATTGCTCTTGGGTTTTGCCTATAATTGACCCAATGTTTTTCTAAGGTTATAGCTGTAAGGATTTGAATCATGTTAAATACTTTCTTATATCAAACCTGATAAATCAATTTTCAATTTTCATAGGTGTTTTACTCATTATGGTTTTATATCAACTATGTCTGGTCATTAAAAAGATACAAATTTACCAACTTGAAAATAATGACACTTTATTTTATAGCACAAAAATTCATTATTCTTACTCAATATTTTCAGAAAATTCTGTAAGTTTTGAGTTG